TAGAGTAGTTAGTAGTAGTAGTAGTAGTAGAGTAGTAGTAGTAGTAGTAGTAGTAGTAGTAGTAGTAGTAGTAGTAGTAGTAGTAGTAGTAGTAGTAGTAGTAGTAGTAGTAGTAGTAGTAGTAGTAGTAGTAGTAGTAGTAGTAGTAGTAGTAGTAGTAGTAGTAGTAGGTAGTAGTAGGTAGTAGTAGGTAGTAGTAGGTAGTAGTAGGTAGTAGTAGGTAGTAGTAGGTAGTAGTAGGTAGTAGTAGGTAGTAGTAGGTAGTAGTAGTAGTAGTAGTAGTAGTAGTAGTAGTAGTAGTAGTAGTAGTAGGTAGTAGTAGTAGTAGTAGTAGTAGTAGTAGTAGTAGTAGTAGTAGTAGTAGTAGTAGTAGTAGTAGTAGTAGTAGTAGTAGTAGTAGTAGTAGTAGTAGTAGTAGTAGTAGTAGTAGGAATAGTATTCGTAGTCGTCGTTGTCGTAGTAGTAGTAGCCGTAGTCGTAGTAGTAGTAGTAGTAGTAGTAGTAGTAGTAGTAGTAGTAGTAGTAGTAGTAGTAGTAGTAGTGGTAGTAGTAGTAGTAGTAGTAGTAGTAGTAGTAATAGTAGCCGTTGTAGTAGAAGTAGAAGTAGAAGTAGAAGTAGAAGTAGTAGTAGTAGTAGTAGTAGTAGTAGTAGTAGTAGTAGTAGTAGTAGTAGTAGTAGTAGTAGTAGTAGGAGTAGTAGTAGTAGTAGTAGTAGTAGCAGTAGTAGTAGTCGTAGTAGTAGTAGTAGTAGTAGTAGTAGTAGTAGTAGTAGTCGTCGTCGTCGTCGTCGTCGTCGTCGTCGTCGTCGTCGTCGTCGATCAAAAAGCGGGGGGGTTGGGGGGGGGCGCAGCCCCCCCCCCATTTGCTCAGATTGCCCTATAGTCCTACACTGTCGGTCTGCTGAAATAGAGTGCGTAGAGAAGTAGAGCATTAGTGTAAATTCCACCCCCCCCCTCCGTTTTTTTTTTCTTGTCTTCATTCCTCGAAAATTAGAGACGCAGAGAATTCATGGAGAATTAGAGTATAATCCAAATGACAACAAAGTCCTTTCTGACGTAATCAAAAAGCGGGGGGGTTGGGGGGGGGCGCAGCCCCCCCCATTTGCTCAGATTGCCCTATGGTCCTACACTGTCGGTCTGCTGGGATAGAATGAGTAGAGAAGTAGAGAATTTGTCTAAATTCCACCCCCCTCGTTTCTTGTTTTTGTTTCTTGTATTCATTCTTCGCACAGTAGAGAAGTAGAGAATTGATAGAGAATTAGAGTACAATCCAGATGACAGCAAAGTCTTTCGGACGTATCAACCCCCCCCCCTATTTGCTCAGATTGCCCTATAGTCCTACACTGTCGGTTTGCTGAAATAGAATGAGTAGAGAAGTAGAGAATTTGTCTAAATTCCACCCACCCCCCGCGTTTCCTGTTTCTATTTCTTGTATTCATTCCTCGAAAATTAGAGAAGTAGAGAATTGATAGCGAATTAGAGTACAATGCAAATGAGAACAAAATCCTTTCTGACGTAGTCAAAGGGCGGGGGGGTTATGAGAGGGGGGGGTTTGTCTTTCGGGAGAATTGGGGGGGGGGGGGGTCAGTCCTTGAGGGAGTATGAGGGGGCGGGGGCCTGGAGTAGGCCCACCCCTAGACTAGGGGTAGGCCTGCGGCGAGGCCCACCCTCAGCCTAGGGGTAGGCCTATACCTAGGCCTACAGGGATAGCCTTCCCCAGCCTAGGGGTAGGCCTACCCCTAGGCCTACCCCCAGCCTAGGGGCAGGCCTCGCCTCCCCCTACGCTAGCATAGACCCTAGGGAGAGGCCTGCGCCTACCCTAGCCTAGACCCCTATTCTCGGCCTATCCCTCCCTAGAATAGGGCCTTGGGGGTAGGCCTACGCCTACCCTAGCCTAGACCCCTACCCTAGGCCTACCCCTAGCCTAGGGGCCGGGACTTCTATACCCCTTGTGGACGAAATGAACTCTAAAAGGGTTTAGGGTTCCATATACCTTAATAGGAATTATTAAACCCCCAAAATATGCGGAATACTGGCGCTTGTATGGGTTTTTTGGGCCTTTCTTACATACTTTGGGGGTCCAGGTAGGGTTTAATCCTTGTGGACGACATGAACCCTAAAAGGGTTTAGGGTTCATATTACCTTAATAGGAATTATAGTAGCATAGGGTACAAGACCCAAATTTTTAAGGTTCATTTGGTCCCCAAGGATGTGGAATACTGGTGGGTCTTTTTGGGCCTTTCTTACATACTTTCGGGGTCCAGGTAGGGTTTTCATAGGGTTTAGGGGTTTTAGGGTCTAGCAAATGGGGCGCCTTCTTCTCTATGACCCCTGTAAGCCCCTAAGCCCCTAAAATCCACCCTTGAACGACCCTATAAACCCCCAAACCCCTGTAAGCCCCTAAGCCCCTAAAATCCACCCTTTTTCCGACCCTATAAACCCTAAACAAAAAACCCAAAAAACCCTATAACCCCTGTAAGCCCCTAAAATCCACCCTTAAACCAAAAAAAGCCCAAAAAACCCTATAACCCCTGTAAGCCCCTAAAATCCACCAACCTCAGCCCTGCTGTTTCGAGGAGTCCAGCCATAAGGCAGACAAGGAGAAGGAGGAGCCGCTGGGTTTTGTTGGGTTTTGTCGGGTTTAGGGGTTGAGGAGCGCAGATGGAGCGAGCTAGGGCTTGCCTTCTGTTCTTGACCCTAAACCCTAGACCCTAAGCCCTAGACCCTTCGAAGCAGGCTTACGCAGCCGAGAGTTGATAAAAACCCGCTTCTTTGGGGTGGTTTCCTTGTTTGCCAGTGCGTGGGCGAATAGACAAAGTATCATGGGACTCTGCCTTGACCCCTGAGGTCGTACCCTTTGGGTTTGGGGACCCTTTTTGAAGATCCTCTAAGGGAATATAAGGGCTATATGAGGAGGATATTCAGGGAAGCCTTAAGGGGTACAGCGGTAGGGGTGCGAGTCTTCATTCTTTGAAAGTAGGCTCGTTTTTGTCACCTCTTTCCCTGGCCAAGTTAGAATTCCAAGCCCCAACCCTAAACCCTAAAACCCTAGCACTAAACCCTAAACCCTAAAAGCCTAATACCCAGGCCTAAAACCCCACACTCTCACAGGAGGCCGTGTCGGCCCAGGCAAAGGCAGACGAGAAGCTGAAACAGACCCGGAAGCTCGGCGTTGAGATATGGGTTTAGGGTTCTCAAACCCTGAAAGGTTTAGGGTTTATTTGGGCGGACGTCAAAATACCATGTATGTAAAATATGATGGAAGTGCAATATGAAGTTCCGCTCTTGCTGGTTTATGTCTTCGCCACAAGGCGGCACCATGCGTATCTGCAGGTTTCAGGCTCTTCCCCATGTAGGCGCCAGGATAGCGCTAGCGTGGCGCTAGGTGTTCCTTTCCAAAGGCTAACATTTTAGGGTTTAGCGTGTAGGGTTTAGGGTTTAGAGCGATCCAGCTTCGGGAATCTTAAGTAGTGTAGGCGGCCTGCGGCTTAGGTAAGACTGTGGAACATTTACACACCCTGCACCCTACACCCTAAACCCTGTGGTTGCGCCTGATGCATACTGCCGGCGTGCCAAAATTCCAAAGTCATGCGGCGTTGGCGCTAGCATCGCGCTAGCAAATATGAAGGGAAACTGCTTGCGGTGGCCACTTGCCCATCTAAGACAGCTGATTTGAAACATGGCCAACCTGGAAGAGCAAAGCACCGCTAGCTCGAGCTCAAGTAGCTCCAGTAGTTCCGAAGACGATGCCTGAGTCTGAAAATGACGGCGCTAGTGTGTTTTGCGAGGTTTTTGCATAGGGAGCAAGAATTAGTACTACACTTCTGTCCTTGCCAAAGCCATCGTTCCAGGCCTTCGTTTTCCTTTTCGTCATAAGGCGGCACCATGATTTTTTCAGCATCCGCCGTTCCTGGAAGAAGGAATATTGACAGCCACCCTTTTGAGAACCCTAAGATCCGGAGGCCCCTTAAGCTCCGAATACCCAACCCCCCCCCCTCCCCCCCCAATTCCCCAAGCCCCCCGAACCCTAAACCCCATTTCCAGATCCTGAAAGAAGGGAGGATATTTGAGGGGGGAGCGCGGTACCGCTAGAACCTTAGGCAAGCCTCGGGCTCCTCAGGGGGCACGAGAAAACGATGTAGCTAGACCCTAAACCCTAAACCCTCCCTTCCTTAAGGACATTGCGGTACTAGGAGTGTTAGGGCTCAGGGTTTAGGGCTTAGGGTCCTGAATCCTGAGGGCTTGGGGTCCTGAATCCTGAGCCAGACATTGTGTAGAGAATCCAGGGTGTAGGATTTACGCCCGAAACCCTAAACCCTAAACCCAAAACTTTACCCTAAACCCTAAACCCTAAACCCTAAACCCTAAACCCTAAACCCTAAACCCTAAACCCTAAACCCTTAGGCCCGGAAGCCTAACCACAACAGCGCCAAACCGGCTCCTTGCCAAAGGAAGGTGCACCATGACAATGTCGGCGCCTGGGCCTAGTTGCGGCTGAAGGAGTTTAGGGTTTAGGGTTTAGGGTTTAGGGTTTAGGGTTTCGGGTTTGGGGTTTGGGGTTTAGGGTTTAGGGTTTAGGGTTTAGGCTTTAGGCTTTAGGCGAAGGCTAGCCCTAGACCCTAAACCCTGAAAAACCCTAAACCCTAACAGAACTCCGAGGCACGAGTTACACAGACACGCGTCGCCCATTCAGTTTGTGCTGGTTCAAGAGCCTCTTCAGATGTGCTTGGCGCAGCCCTCTTTCTCTGTCCGAAGTTCACAGCAACAGGGTTTGGGGTGTGGGGCGGTTGGGGTCTGGGGCTGAGGGATCGTTTGAGGCTTTAAAGGTTTGTTTCTGTTTCGGAGCTGGGGGATGCGCGGGGGGGGGGGGGGGGTTCTGATTTGGGGGTTGGCAGCGCCTGACCAGCGAGCTCCCTCAGACTACCTATAAGTTTGCTGTCGGGAGTCCTGTCGCTCGGTTCGTTCAGCTCTGCAGGTGGCGCAAAAAACTACACCCCGTGCATGCCAGCGGCTATAGGCGGCCGGCAAGAGAATCCCCAAAAAGGGCCTTCAATCCCAAAGCCCCAAACCCTAAACCCTAAGCCCGAAACCCTAAACCCTGAACTCCTAAACCCTAAACTCCTAAACTCCTAAACCCGAAGCCCTGAACCCTAAACCCTCAACTCCCCCAAAGGTATACTGCGAGATGCCATTGCCGACGACGACAAGGCGGCGCAGATGGCAGAAGAGGCGAAGAAGCAAGTCGACGAGGCCATTTCGGGGAGAGGTTTAGGGTTTACGGTTTAGGGTTTTGAAAAAAGGTTGGGATTTTGGGAGGTTTCCCTGCAGTAGAGGTGTCCGTTGAAGGGGGTTATGCTGTATTTGTGGCTGTAGAGGGAGACTTTTGCTTTTGTAATCCATTCGGGCAGTGCTCTCAGGACTGTGGCCAGCCAAGGACAAATCCGCTGACAGGACTTAGATCTTCAGTGCACGGCAGGAAGGGAATTGCACCGCATCGGCTTTCTCGAGAGATTCAGATCCAGCAATCGTAGAGCACGCCCTAAGCCCTAAACCCTAAACCCTAAACCCTAAACCCTAAACCCTAAACCCTAAACCCTAAACCCTAAACCCTAAACCCTAAACCCTAAACCCTAAACCCTAAACCCACCCTCCCACCTGCACAAACCCTGAATCCTACATCTCCCTCGACTCCCACACCCTTGCTGCCCCAGCCCTGGGTACGCTGTGCTCCGCTTCCCTGGCCCGAGGCGCACGCGGAGGTAGAGAAGGTGAAGAAAGCCGAGAAGCGCTACGAAGCGCAGGCCAAGGAGGCCAGTGACATTTAGGGCAGGGTTCCGGGTTCCGGGTTTAGGGTTGAGGGTTGAGGGTTGAGGGTTTAGGTAACAAATGGGTCCCAGGGAGGGTATTATTTTAAGGTCTGTCCGGCCTTGTGGTGGGGGAGGGAGGGAGGGAGAGAGAGAGAGAGAGAGAGAGAGAGAGAGTGGGAGAAGAAGCTTCCGCCCTCCGCAAGCTGCGCGAGGTGGAGGGGGCAATGCTGGATCCTTTTGCCCACTGAGAGAAGAAGCCGCAGAAGAAGGAGAAGAGAAACAAGAAGAAGACCCTCTAGTCAGATGCTCCGAATGAAAAAAGGACGAGAGTGATGAGTGTGAGCCAGTGCAAGCAGCAGCTGAATGGGCCCTCAGTGGACAGAACACCCTAATCCCCCCAAACTTCCCTTCCTATGCCCCCCTCCTCTGCCTCCTAGGACCCCCAGAGTAGGCCGCTATTCCCCTTTTTTTAGGGTTTGGGTTTGCTTGTAAACCCTTTTCAACCAAACAGGACATCCTTGTTGATTCCGACCGAGATTACTCTTAGGGTTTAGGGTTTAGGGTTTAGGGTTTAGGGTTTAGAGCTAGCATCTCAGCTCACCGGCGCAGGCCGCTGCTGTGGAGAAGGTTGCCCAGGCACGGCTTCTTTCCGCTAAACCCTAAACCCTAAACCCTAGGCAAAAAACCCTAAACCCTAAACTCTAAACCCTAAACGCTAAACCTCTCTACCATATAACCCTACATGTTAAACACCAATTGGAGAATTTGATCCATTTCTTTTTTTTTTCACCCCCCCCCCCCCCCCCCCGTTGTTCAGCACCAATTGGAGAATTTGATCCATTTTGCCCCCCCCGACCACTTTGACCCCCCATTGTTCAGCACCAAGTGGAGAATTTGATCCATTTTGGCTTCTCCGACCCCTCTGACCCCCCATTGCTCAGCACCAATTGGAGAATTTGATCCATTTTGGCTTCTCCGACCCCTCTGACCCCATTGTTCAGCAACAATTGGAGAATTTGATCCATTTTGACCCCTCCGACCCCTTTCAGGGAGGCTTCGTGGGGGGGGGTACCCCATGATTCGGGAAAAATGGCTCGATTCCCAGTTAGTTTTAAATAGACTTTATATAGCGGAGTTGACCCCCTCATTTTCTAGATTTCTCTGACCCCCTCAATGCTGGCCCTCTGACCCCTTTAACCCCCCATTGTTTGGCACGAGTGGAGAATTTGATCCATTTCGACCCCTCCGGCCCCTTTGGACCCCTTTGACCCCCCCATTGTTCAGCATCAATTGGAGAATTTGACCCATGTCGAACCTTCTGACCCCTTTGACACCCCCATTGTTCAGCACCAATTGGAGAATTTAAATGATCCATTTCGACCCCTCCGACCCCTTTACCCCCCCCATTGTTCAGCACCAATGGGACCATTTGATCCATTTTATTTTGACCCCTCCGACCCTTTGTTTCAAGGCCTCACAGCCTGGTGTTTAGGATTTCAGGGCCTCACTGGTGTAAAGGGTTTCAGGGACTCAAGGCCTGGCGTTAGGGTTTCAGGGCCTCAAGGCCTGGTGTTTAGGGTTTCAGGGCCTCAAGGCCTGGCGTGGCTTGTGTTAAGTACTTGGTACTACGGCGCGATTGTGTTGTGCATTGGTGCATCCGAAGACAAATATTGAACCTTCTATTGTCGTAATGTTATGGGATTCTTTGGGCGGGTGGGTTTTTTTTTCCGTTGCCTACACACACTGCTGGCCTAGTAAATGCTCGAACTTGAGATGCTGAACCCTAAATCCTAAACCCTAAACCCTAAACCCTAGCCCTAAACCCGAAACCCCTAATCCTAAACCCCAAGCCTCATGGAGAGGGCCCCCAAGGTGTTGATAGCAGCGCGCGCCGACCCGGAACAAGCCTAGACCCCTACCATTACCTGTCTTGGGGGTTTAGGGTTTATAGGGTTTAGGGTTTAGGGTTTAGGGTTCAGGGTTCAGGGTTTAGGGTTTAGGGTTTAGGGTTCAGGTTTCAGGGTTTAGGGTTTAGGGTTTAGGGTTTGGACAACATGGCCGCCCCAGAGGATGCGAAAGCGCACGCCGATGCCCTGTCGAGACAGCGGGCCGCGGAGCTTGCTGTACTTCAGGATGGGCTTAGAGGGTTTTGGTTTCTTAGGGTTTAGGTTTAGGGTTTAGGGTTTAGGGTTTAGGGTTTAGGGTTTAGGGTTTAGGGTTTAGGGTTTAGGGTTTAGGGTTTAGGGTTTAGGGTTTAGGGTTTAGGGTTTAGGGAGATGAGGGACGTGGAGGGTACAACTGTTGGGGGGGCAGGTAGAGTTCCGCGTTGGGTTTCTATAGTCCTTGAGAGGGCTTCACTCAGACTGGCACCCTGCTGAGCCCAAAGCTTTAACCCAAACCCTAAACCCTGAAACCCTGAAACCCTGAAACCCTGAAACCTGAAACCTGAACCCTAAACCCTAAACCCTAAACCCTAAACCCTAAACCCTAAACCCTAAACCCTAAACCCTAAACCCTAAACCCTAAACCCTAAACCCTAAACCCTAAACCCTTCCTCCACGAAGATGCGCCCCCGACCATGGCTGTGGTTGCGAGGAGGAGGCCCGGGCGCGGGCCAAAGGTAAGGCCAAGCTGCTGCTGGAGCTGAGCAAAGTGGAAAGCGCCAGGCTGGAGGGGGTTTAGGGTTTAGGGTTTAGGGTTTAGGGTTTAGGGTTGCGCTTGGGCGAGTTGAGGTGCCATCTGCGCACTGCAGCCTTCGTCGCCCGATTAATTATTGTTTTGTTGAGAAAATTACGCAAGATGTATCGTCATGTATGATGACTTGTTTGGTCTGCGGTCTACATGTGCCAAGCCCATGTCCGGTCCCCATGTCAGGCGCGCCGTCGCCGCCGCCCTCGCGGAGGCGCACAACGCAACGCGCGTGGCTGCGCAGGCGCGATGGGGAAAGGGACTCAGACGCGCTGGGGCAACGGGGTCGGAACCTGGGACCCTATTTACCTACAGTTCTTGCAGCAACTACCCTGAATTGTAAACGCTTGCGCGCGCCGCCTCGGCAGCCGCGCCCGCCCCAGGACAGGAAAGGAGGACAGAGGGTTGAAGGGCAGAGCGGGTGGGGGGGGGGTCGGGGGCGGGTGAGGGGGGGGGTGAGGGGGAGGGGTGGGGTGGGGGGGGGGGGGTGTGGGGGGGGGGGGGGTGGGAGGGGGGTGGGGGGGGCACTCTTCGCGCAGGAGCCAGGATCCTGCACGGCATCGGTTTGCAGCTCCTCCAAGGGATTGGGACGGGTGCCACAGGGCGGGGGGGGTGGGGGGGGGGGGTGGCGTCAGAAAATTTGGTTGGGCTAGGGAAGGAGGCCCGATCCGGGTCTGCTTGTTCCAGACGCTTCTCGGCAGGAAGCCGAGGCGAATTAGGAGGTGTAACCCATAAAGCTGTAGGTAAAGAGGGTCCCTGGAAGACCCTAGAGTGCGCATTTTGTCCGTGATGTTGTGGGGTTGAGGACTGGGATCCGCCGCATTCTCTCAGGGGTAGGGGATGGTATAGGGATTTAGGCAAGCGCAACCAAGGCAGTCCCATGCACCCCAAACGCAACTAGCGCGGGCTTGGGGGTTTAGAGGGCTGAGGGTTCGGGATTTTTGGGGAAACCCTGTAGAACGTGTGTAGGGGTTTGAGGATATTCCGGTTTATGGATTTCGGTCTGTTGGAGGACGGAATCTTTCGTGTTTCAGTGACTGGACTGCAGGACCCCCGAGCCGAGTGCTAAACCTCAGACTCCGAATCAAGAATCAGATGTTCACTTTGCTTTACTGTACGTAGGGTTTAGGGTTTAGGGTTTAGAATTTAGGGTTTAGGGTTTAGGGCACCAACCCAGCAACTCATTCCCAGTACTAAGCCTCCGAAGCAAGTCGAAAGCTGCTCGAAGGAGGTGACGGATGCCGGGGAGAAGAAGAAGCAGGCAGAATGTTCCCCAATGGGCTGCAGAAAAGGCTTTTTTTGCACAGCGGGAGGGAGGGACGGAGACGGAGACGGAGACAGCGAGAGCGAGAGCAACAGTGAGAGTGAGAGAGTGAGTGAGGGTGATTCTGTGTCTCTCTGTGTCTCTCTCTCTCTCTCTCCGTCTGTGTCTCTGTTTGCCTCTCTGTGTCTCTCTCTCTCTCTCTCTCTCTATATCTGTCTCTGTCTCTCTCTCTGTCTGAGCTCTAAAGCTACAGCGGCAGCCCGGGAATTTGGCTGCGATGTTGGGCATGAGCCGAGCCTTTAAAGATCTGAAGCCCTGGAGCTTCCATCTCCTACCTGGACCTCTCTTTGCCTCCAGCTTAGTGGGTTTAGGGTTTAGGGTTTAGGGTTTAGGGTTTAGGGTTAGCTACCCTGAACTTGTAGGTATAGCCCATAAAACTGTAGGTCAAGAGGGCCCCAGGTAGACCCTGAGTCCCCTGAGCCTTGGCAGCATTCCGGGTTCCGAGTTCGAGGGTTTAGGGTTTAGGGTTTAGGGGTTAGGGTTGAGGGTTTAGGGTTTAGGGTAGGTTCTGTCATCGGGGTGGCCACGAGTGCTTCCTCGCTGGCAGGTACCGGCATGGCTCTCAGACTGGGTTTAGGGTAGGTTCTGTGACATGTTATGACGAAAGAAGTTTGGACGGGTTTTGCAGGACCCCCACCTGATGCCACACAAGGCCCCTAAACCCTAAACCCTAAACCCTAAACCCTAAACCCTAACCCCTAACCCCTAAACCCTAAACCCTAAACCCTAAACCCTAAACCCTAAACCCTAAACCCTAAACCCTAAACCCTAAACCCTAACCCTAAACCCTGGGGCATGGGGGGCTTGAGCTCTCGATGCGGGCTGCGCCAGGCGGCTGCCGAGATGAAGAGGGCGAAGAACTTAATGCAGGCCAGTCCCCGGGTTCTGGGTTTAGGGTTTAGGATTTAGGGTTCCAGTCTTAATTTAAGGGTTGAGGGCTTAGGGTTTAGGTTTTAGGGCTTAGGGCTTTTGTGGGTTCTGGGTGCCTATTATGGCTACTTATACCCAACAAGTATATACTCTTCTTCCAGGGCCTACTCCAAAGTAGGGCTTAGGGCTTCTTTTTGGCTATTCTGATGTCTGGTAATTTCTATTACTATCATTATCAGCCTTTTTTTCATGTGTACTATATATATATACACACACATATTTTTCGGTATTTGCTATGGTTGTTATTATAACAAATCTTTGTTGAGTTTTCTTGTTTATATGTTCATATTGATTTTTTCCTGGTTTGGGGTGTATTTTGCGTAGGCGTTCCTCCATTCTAAGCCGTAGCGCTGCATGGCGCATCGCATCAGGAGGCTACTCCCTAGAGCATAAGCCTTAAACCCCTAAACGGATATGGGCAGCTTTCCAAATGAGAGTCCCTTTCGTAACCCCTTCTTCTGGGGTCCTACAGGGATGGAAAAAGTGACCCTTAGGGTTTAGGGTTTAGGGTTTGGGGTTTGGGGTTTAGGGTTTAGGGAGAACTACCCATACTCACGCTCTAGGAACGGCTCGGGCTCATAGGGCTTAAGGCTCAGTGAGGCACCCTAAGACGCAATAAACCAAAGGCAGGACCCTAAGACACTAAAGTCCAACATAGCGTGTAGGGTTAAGGGTTTAGGGTTTAGGGTTCAGGGTTCAGGGTTTAGGTGCCAAAAGCAGGTCGCCCAGGAGATGCATGACGTCGCCGAGCACTTGATCTGCACTTCGGAACCCTAAATCCCCAGCCTCAAACCCTATTTCTTTGGTTAACCAGCAAAAAGCAGGTTTTGGGTTCCTAAGGTAGGCCTGAGGCCCTCAACCGCAAGCCCCGCCCTTCCCTAAACAAAGAGTCCCAAGAACCCCCCCCCCCCCCCCCCCGCAGAACCGCGCCTTTCTGCATCTCAGATGAGTGCTTGAGATTCGGAGTTCGAAAATTCCGAAGTGCGCCGTAAGCCCGCCCCAAACCCTAAGCCCTAAACCCTAAAGCTGTGCGGGTCGCCAAAAACAAAACCTTAACCCCCAAAATCTTAAGCCCTAAACCTTAACCCCTAAACCCTGAACCCTAAACCCTAAACCCTAAGCGCTCCCAGGCGTGCCATGGTGGCTGCTCACGTGCTCCAAAGCACGGGTGCCAAAGCCCAGGGGCAGAACCAGTCGCAGGCTGGGGGTTTCGGGTTTAGGGTTTATAGGGCTGAGGGCTTAGGGTTTAGGGCTTAGGGGTCACCTATATAACCCGTATCAATATGTGCTATGAAAAATGCAGGGCCCACACTGCGGATCCCTGTAACAAGGGTAAGGGACCATGCTAAGGGCCCATGGCTCCAACCTTAGATATGTGGTTGTGATAGTCCTTGGCTCACTTGTGGCTCGACATGTGGGAGTATCCTAAGATATCCTAAGTCTTTGGGTTTAGGGTTTAGGGTTTAGGGTTTAGGCACATACGGTTCCCCCCCACCCCCTTGCCCCCCAATATTAAATATTCCATCAGGGTCCCTAAACCCGAAACCCGAAACCCGAAACCCTACGTTCTGGGAATCGGGGACCCTATAGCCAAGATGAACCCCGTAAATGAACCCTGAAACCCTCAAACATGCTGGTAAAATCTCTATACCTCTATACTCAAAGCCCCATAAAACCACCTAAAACCCTCAACCCTCAACCCTCAACCCTCAACCCTAAACCCTAAACCCTAAACCCTAAACCCAACACCTAAACCCTAAACCCAAAACCCTAAACCCTAAATCCTTTGTCTGTCGTGGATGCCTCCGATATGTTCGGCCAGGTACAGCCGCCAGCAGCTGTGCGAGAGGCTGGGCAAGGAGGGCTCAGGACCCCAAACCCTGAACCCTTAGCCCTAAGCCCGAAACCCTAGGCCTTAGACCCTAGACCGTAAACTAAACTTTAGCCTCATCCCCCCAAAAGCCTCCAACACCACACCAACCACCACCACCACCACCAACCACCACCTCCACCCACCACCACCACCACCAACCACCACCACCACCACCCACCACCACCACCACCAACCACCACCACCACCACCACCACCACCACCACCCACCACCACCACCACCCACCACCACCACCACCACCAACCACCACCGACCACCACCACCACCACCACCAACAACACCAACAAAAAATACAACACCAACACCACCACCACCACCAACACCACCACCAGCACCACCACCACCACCACCACCACCACCACCACCACCACCACCACCACCACCACCACCACCACCACCGCCACAAAAAATGCGAACCAACAAACCCTGTTTCCGAATGGCAAGGCGCCTTCCAAGCCCTACTCGCCAAGCACCCATGGAGATTCTGAGCGGGCTATGGAGGCATTCCAGGGTTGATCTGGGTCGGTTGAGTCTGATGAGTCTGATGCTAAGGGTGTTTAAGTGGTTAGGGCTTAAGGGCTTGGAATTGTTTCGGTGTTTTTTGGGGTGGTGGTGGGGGCTCACGGGTTTCAGGGCTTAGGGTGCGAAACCGGGCTGTCGTCAAGCGGCGCGTTCAGAGGGCTCAGAGATGTTGGGTTGACGGGGCGCAGCGCGGGCTCTCACAAGAGTCCGGGGTTTATCGGGTAGAGGTGCAGGGCAATGAGGTTTCGTCGGGAATTTGGTCTTTTGGGGGGCCAAGGCCTTTGGGGGGGCTGAAAAGGGCCTAAATCCGAACAAGTTTGGATGTCTGCGCAGTAAACGATGCAGCCGGAACCTGAAACCCTGTAAGCCCTACGCTTCATTCTACATCCCGCGCCGGATCTAGGCCGCCGTGGCGGCAGCTGCAAATGCAGATGCAAGGCTGCAGAACGCGGAAGAGGAGTCGGGAGAATTCCCTGCGGTCAAAAGGGCTTGTTGGGCCTACAGTGTTCAGCAATCTGGTTTTGGTATAGGTTTTTTCGGAGAGTCGGTTGCGTGTGTCCATGGCCGGCGGGGGATTCCGGGATGAGAAGGGACAAAGTCAAGCCTCAGAGCTCATTTAATGTCTCGACCCCTCTTGTAAGTGTAGAATCCTACAGCCTACAGCTATAAAGCCCAAAGCCCCCTCAACTCTCAACCTCTAACTTTAAAAAGCCGCCTTTGAGAACCTCACGGACTGGTCTCTAGTGCACTGAGCCAACCGAGACCCTCCGAAGCCTTTCCTGCCGCGTGCGAGCTTGAGAGTTGTTACCCTAGCAACAAAACCCCAAACCCTAAACACCCCACAACCCTAGAAACCCCAAACTCCAAAACCCTAAACGCCTTAATCCCAACACCCTGAACCCCCCAAAACACCCCGACACCCTAAAGCCCTATCCGCCAGGAGCTCATGAAGCTCCAAGGCATTAAGGACCGGGGACATCCTTTGGGGTTTAGGGTTTAGGGTTTAGGGTTTAGGGTTTAGGGTTTCATACAGAGGTTCGGGAGGATGGTTCCCTCCTGTTCATTTGGGGAACAAGCGACGGAAGACTGCACTCCTCGACCTGCTTCAGTTGGGAGCTGCTGGCACCACTGGGAGGTTCCTGGTTACCTATAGGGTTTAGGGTTTAGGGTTTAGGGTTTAGGGTTTAGGGTTTAGTGTTTAGGGTTTAGGGTTTAGCCCCAATGATAAGTCTACTTATATTCCGATTTAGAGGACTTAGGCGGCTTGGAAGTACAGTTCTATGTTGATATAAAAGTACCCTGAGCCTCCAAGCAGGAGCCAGAGTCTATGGTACTTAGTGGAGTTCGCTCACACACCCTAAACCCTAAACCCTACGTAAACCCTAAACCCTAAACCCTAAACCCTAAACCCTAAACCCTAAACCCTAAACCCTAACCCTAAACCCTAAACCCTAAACCCTAAACCCTAAACCCTAAACCCTAAACACACATGTCGCCAAGGGGTCAGGGCCCAGGACCCCCAAGCCTTGCGAGCTAGCATCGCTGGCCCTACATCAGGGTTTAGGGTTTAAGGTTTAGGGTTTAGGGTGACTTAACCACCCCCCCCCCCCCCCCCCCCCCCCCCCCGAGATGGACACAAAAGGCAGCGCAAAGGGAGGTTGAGTTTAGGCTTTACGGGGTTTAGGGGATTTGGGTTTAGGAGTTGAGGATTGCCAAGCCCCTTCCCCAAGCCGGAAACTCGAAGCCCAAAGCCCAAAGACGCAGAGCCAAGAGAACCGTTTGCGCGGCACGCAGGCGCGCGAGGAGGAACAGCTCAGACAGCTGCTTGTTTGCAGTTTAGGGCTGGCGGTCTAGCCCTTAGACCCTATACCCAAAACCCTACAAACCCTAAACTCTAAACCCCGAATGAAAAGACCCCCACATCCCCAAAAGTGTACCAACAAACGAAAAGACAACCCTGGAGCCTCGAAGGCCGTGTTTAGGGCTTAGCCCAGTGGTACCCTGTATGCTTTTTTTGGTTCAAGGTTCCCTTCTAAAGTAGCCAACCCACAATAAAGGGTGCCCTTATCATGAGATGGCTACTGGGCTACTAAGACCTTCAAACTTGAAAGGTTTGGCGTAATCCCTTGCCCCGACTGACTATTAAACCCAATATTGAAACTTCCGTGGAGGGGATTAACCAGGGTTTCGGGTGAACTCCTCCTGTTCATGGCCTGTATCAAGGAGCCCTGACGAAGAATCCGCTTTCATGAGGTTTAGGGTTTAGGGTTTAGGGTTTAGGGTTTAAATTTCAGGGCTTAGGGTTCAGGGTTTAGGCTTAGGGTTTGCTGGAATATGCGTAGATGCTGTGAAGGTTAGGCTTCGGAACAAGCTCGAAAGCTTCGTGAAGCGCCTCTGGCCCGATTGCGGAGGGCCATTTAACACCTTTCTCCCACCCCACGACGTCACAGGCGGCAAAGCCACCCGACCCAAACCTATTTCTTTTAGGATTTATATAAGCCTAAACTCAAATCAATTGCTTACTTACAATAAAACTTCTTCATGAAGTCATGGTGGTCGCCAGTCTAGTTCTCTAGAAGAGGGTTCAGGGCGGAGCGTGCAGTTGTGTTCGCCCGAGCTTATGTCGTGGGAGGTGGGCTGCCTGCAGGGCACGGTGCATGGAAGCATTACCGTGTTTGTGCGCTACAGCGAGCCTTGCGGGATGGTGCAGCTCGCCCAGTTGTGCCGAGTTGAGAGATGGGTTCTGCACCCAGCCGGCCTGCGAAGTGTGGTGGCCTATGAGGGCTTAGGGTTAGGGTTTAGGGTTTAGGGTTTAGGGTTTAGGGTTTAGGGTTTAGGGTTTAGGGTTTAGGGCTCTTTTCTGAGCGAGGCGTGGAGCCTCGTTGTCGGGGAGCTTCTCCCTGCAGCCATGACTGATTGCACGAGACACGTCTGCCTGCACTGGGATGGTTTGAGTAATAGTGCCCTTCGTTTGCTGCCCGACACGTGCCTGGCCCGCTGGATGAAACGGGTAGTGATAGAAGTTTCAGAGATGGCCTGCGATCTCGCTCCTGGAGTGATTTGGGCGGCCTGAGGTTGCCCTTTCATGCAGGAGTGGGTAAACCCTAAACCCTAAACCCTAAACCCTAAACCCTAAACCCTAAACCCTAAACCCTAAACCCTAAGCCTCTCTTTCATATGTAATTTAAATGTTGGGGGAGTAAAAGGTTGTTTTTTTTCTGGGCAAGGTCATTTTTTCACTGGGCAAGGTCATTTTTTTTTACTGGGCAAGGTCATTTTTTGCTGGGCGAGGTCGTTCTGTAAGCGAAATGGTTTCTTAATGTTATGGGGTTCTATGGGCGGGTGGGTGTTTTTTTCTGGAATAATTTCTTGACTAGTGAATGCTTGGACTTGTGATGCTGAACCCTAAGCCTTAAACCTTAAACCCTAAACCTTAAACCCTAAAAACTAAACCCTAAACCCCAAATCCTGTGCATGACTGAGGGTTTGGGGTTTATTAGGGTTTATGCAGATCTGGCTCGCCCCCCAGACCAGCTGCAAAAAGGGTCTAGGGTTTAGGGTTTAGGGTTTAGGGCAAATCCCCAGAGGTGCTTACATGCGCAAGTTTTACCCTGAACGAAGTCCCTATACTCGTGCATGGCCTAAAACCCGAAACCCTAAAAAACCGTAAGCCCTAAACCCGAAACCCCAAACCCCAAACCCCAAACCCTAAACCCTAAACCCTAAACCCTAAACCCTAAACCCTAAACCCTAAACCCTAAACCCTAAACCCTAAACCCTAAACCCTAAACCCTAAACCCTAAACCCTAAAACATAAACCCTAAACCCTAAACCCTAAACCCTAAACCCTAAACCCTAAACCCTAAACCCTAAACCCTAAACCCTAAACCCTAAACCCTAAACCCTAGCCTTGCTTATGTTCATCCGAAACCCTCAACACTTAGCAGAAAAAGCCTAAGCCTCAAACCCTAAACCCTAAACCCTAAACCCTAAACCCTAAACCCTAAACCCTGAACTGTTCAAACCGGCAAGGCCTGTAAACCCTGCAAGCCGTGCAAGCCGTCTAACTCTACCCTCTCAACCCTCTATAAACCCTCTCTAAACTCTCTAAGTCTATAAACCCTCTATAAACCCTCTATACACCTTCTATAAACCCACTATAAACCCTCTATAAACATTCTATAAACCCTGCACGCCCTGTAGACCTTGTATAAACCCTACAGGCCCTGTAGACCCTGTAAACCCTGGACTCGATCAAGCCCCAAAAGCTCTGAACCTTAAAAGCCCGATGGCACAAAACCCTAAACCCTAAACCCGAAACCCGAAACCCTAAACCCTAAACCCTAAACCCTAAACCCTAAACCCTGTAACTTGACCAGCCGAGGGAGCACCGAGAGCTGAATCGAGCCACGAAGTCCTTGGCGACTCGGCGCCGGTTGGGGTTTAGGGCTTGGGGTTGGGATGTTCCCCCCTGTACTAGCAGTCCCGAAGGGTTTAGGGTTTAGGGTTTAGGGTTTAGGGCTTAGGGCTTAGGGCTTAGGGCTTAGGGTTCCCTTGTACCAACAGCTCCTTACTAGGGATTATAGTAGTGGGTACTCGAATCCCTATTCAGGACTGTTAGTAGAAGGAGGAACCATCCCAAGTTTGGCATTTCGGGGGCTTGGGGGGGGGGGGGGTTAGGGTTTTGGTGGTGGGTTTAGGGTTTAGGGTTTAGGGATTTTCGAAAGGTCCAGGAGGGCTTTTGGTTTAGGGAGTTTTGGGTTGGGGGTTTAGGGTTTCGGGGGTCTTGGCGGGTTTAGGGCTGGCTGGCACTAGGAATTCGGAAGCAAAAGGGCAGGGTGAGGGTTGGCTTAGGTTTGAGGGTTCAGCGTTCAGGGTTGTAGGAGTTCAGAGGGAGAATCCGCAACAGCTGTAACAATCCCATGGCCCAAAGATATTCAATTCCCAAGAGGGTCCCAGCATATTCTTACCCTAAACCCTAAATTATAAAGCCCCCACACCCTCAGGCCCCCCAAGTCCCCCTAAACCCTAAACCCTAAACCCTAAACCCTAAACCCTCAACCCTCAACCCTCAACCCTCAACCCTAAACCCTAAACCCTAAACCCTAAACCCTAAACCCTAAACCCTAAACCCTAAACCCTAAACCCTAAACCCTAAACCCTAAACCCTAAACCCTAAACCCTAACCCTAAACCCTAACCCCAAGGACCAGAGCCGTGCCACCACGCGGCGCGATGCCGCGGAGCTCAGCGCCGTGTGGGATGAAGTGCGGCAGCTTGGGAGCAAGACTGCGAGGGTTTAGGGTTTAGGGTTTAGGGTTTAGGGTTTAGGGTTTAGGGTTTAGGGTTTAGGGTTTAGGGTTTAGGGTTTAGGGTTTAGGGTTTGGCGTGGGAGCAAGACTGCGAGGGAAGGGTTTAGGGTTTTGGGTTTGGGGTTTTGGCGTTTACGGTTTAGGGTTTACGGTTTAGGGTTTAGGGTCTAGGGTATAATGTATAGGATGAAAAAGAGTTTAGGACGTAAGGGTTTAGGGTTTGAGTTTTTTGGTGGATGTAGAGCATATAGGGTGTAAAGGGGTTGAGGTTGACGGCCTGATTCGGTGCAAAGGGTTGGTTTAAATTTAAATAGCTGATAGGGTTCAGATAAGTTATGATGTAGGGTTGTTAGGCTTGAAAGCGTGTATGAGGCTGGGGGTGGACGGGTTTAGGGTTTAGGGTTTAGGGCTTTGGGTTTAGGGTTGCAAGCTTGTGAAGGGTGGTTTGTAGGGTTCAGGGTTAGGGTGCTGAGGCTTCAGGGCGGGTAGAGGGTAGACACGGCTGATGTTTCCGGGACCCCCCCTTTGTTCTGGTTGTGCTACCCTTTTTGCGTTTTTGTTTTGGTTGGTACAGTATCCCTTCTTTTCCTTCTTTTCCTCGTCCCTCTCAAACCCTAAGCCCTAAACCCTAAACCCTAAACCCAAAACCCTAAACCCTAAACCCTAAACCCTAAACCGTCTTGAGAGTAAGGATCCTTCAGCTGATCCTTGGCCTTGTGCTGGCTGCTGCCGTCGCTGCGGCCTACTATGGACACATGCCGCTTGCTGGCCCACAGGGTGCCGGGTCGGAGGCTTTAGGGTTGACCCGGGGCCCCATGTACCTACAGTTTTTTGTGGTAACTAAAACCCTAAACCCTAAACCCTAAACCCTAAACCCTAAACCCTAAACCCTAAACCCTAAACACTACCCTTAATGAGTAGGCAGAACCCATAAAAGCTGTAGGCAAAGAGGGGCCCAGGGAGGGGTTGAGGGGCTTCGAGCCTTAGGACCGGTTCAAGGCTTAGCCTTGCACGTTCGCAAGGGTTTAGGGTTTCGGGTTTCGGGTTTAGGGTTTAGGGTTTAGGGTTTAGGGCTTGGGGTTTAGGGTTTAGGGTTTAGGGTTTCGGGGTCTACGGCAGGCGCTTACGAGCTGTGACGAGCTTCCAAAGCCTTGGTAAATCCTTTGGGCTCCTAAACAAGCCCTACGCTGCTTAAAACCTGACCTACGCATCCAACATATGTAGACCCTAAATCCTAAACCCTAAACCCTTATAGTAGTCCTGGTTTCTAGGTTTGTGTTTTTCATACTTTGGGGGGTCCGGGGAGACTTAAGATAGACCCTAGCCCCTAAACCTTAGCAGCCTTGGTTGTGAATGGCATGCTAGGGCTGCTAGGGCATCCTGTTAACCTTAGATGACGGTTTAGGGCTTAGGGTTTATAGGGTTTAGGGTTTAGGGTTTAGGGTTTAGGGTTTAGGGTTTAGCACAGCCCCCAAGCACAGACCCCAGGCGGAGGTCGACCCTCCTGGAGCCTAAGCCGACGGTGGT